TTATGTCATCTTAGCCAGATTTGATACAAGGTCAATGGAAAACACAAAGATAAACACAAGTGATATTTAAGAATGATTATTGTTGTTAGCAAATCTTCTTCTGACTTTAATCTTTCATGAAAACCTAGGTCATTAAAGGATGTCATGAATTACTATCTTAAACATAAAAGTATTAGTTCCATTACAAGCTCTTCAGTGTGACCGGAGTGTGGATAGTTGTTTGTGTTTCTGTCTGTGTCCCTGTGATGGTCTGAGATCTGAGATCCAGCTCCCACCCTGACCCTGATTAAGAACAAGGAGGAAAGAATGGATGGAAGATTTTTCTTTATGGAGGAAACAGACATTTAATTATAAAACACTATTTATTTTATGCTAATCTGAATCAGTTTAGTGTATTTTGTGTATATTGATATACACATACAGATTTGATAGTTCTGTAGGAATGAAAATTTTGTAAAGTTTATTCAAAATAAACCTAAATGTTTTAAAGAAAATAGAAATGCATCCAAACTAATCAGGAGTAATTTTATCATGCAGCAGGGCAATGAACCGACACACTGCCAACAAAACTATGGGCTTCATCAGGGGGAAAATAATGGAAGGTTTTAGACTGGCCAAGTCAATCAACTGAACCCAATAGAGCATTTCACCTGCTGAAGTGGAGACTGAAGGGAGAAACCCCCGAAACAAACAAGAACTGAAATAAGCTGCTGTAAATGCCTGGAACAGCATCACAAACGAAGAATGCAACAGTTTGGTGTTGATTGGTCGGAGGCTTGATTCAGTCATTGCAAGCAAGGGTTATGTCACTAAATATTAAATGCTATTTACTTTTAAGATTGTTTGTTCCTTAACTGTTGCTCACCTAAAAATGCTGTAGTGTAATACAAACTATATAGCTTATGTTGTTTAACACATCTACATGTAAATACCAGGAAATAAAAGCTGACATTTGGATCTTAAACCCAAATGTCTTCCATGTACAACACAAACAAGGGAATTTGACTTGCTGTTCCAATACTTTTGGAGGGGACTGTACATGGTGAAAGAAAAATGACATCATGCCAAAATGGAAGAGCATAAACATTTTGACTTATCTGTGACTGTCATAACCAAGAATCAGATCTCTTAGCAMACATGATTGTGAAGTAAATAATTTRAACCAAACAACATCTATGTGCTCTTATTTGTAGGGTTATTACAAGCGTACTCCAGCATATATGCCCATTCGCAGACGAGAGCGTAAGGGCTGTTTCGCTGTACCGATGGTCCACTCGACCTACCTGGTGGATCTGAGGAAAGCGGCTTCTCGTGAGCTGGCTTTTTATCCTCCACACCCGGAGTACAGTTGGGCACTGGATGATGTTATCATCTTTGCTTACTCCGCTCGCATGGCAGGTGGGAATAATGCTTCACAGATAGACATCACATTGCCTTATTATGCGGCTTAAATATGTAAACATGTTTTTCCTTCTTTTTTCTCTCCTCAGATGTGCAGATGTATGTGTGCAACAAAGAGACYTACGGGTATTTTCCAGTGCCGATGCGTTCCCATGCAACCCTGCAGGATGAGGCAGAGAGTTTTTTGCATACTCACCTTGAGATCATGGGTGAGTCAAGAGTTACCAGGAGAATGTTTTATTAAAACTGAAAGTTTGATAGTTAAAAATGAATCTAGATGTTTCCTGTCTGTCTGACACTTGCTGTTTTCTACAACAGTGAATAATCCGCCGTTGGAGCCCTCCAGCATCCTGTCTCTTACTCCAAAGCAGTCTAATAAGATGGGCTTTGATGAGGTATAACCACACATCCTGTCTCAAAAACAAGTGTACTCTGTAAGTTGAGCATGTGTGTGAAGTTGTTTTTTGTTTTGTATGTATTTGTGTTCACCCAGGTTTTTATGATAAACCTGGTACGGAGATCTGATCGCCGTGAACGAATGCTAAGAACTCTGAATGAGATGGAGCTCAGCTGTAAGGTTATTGCTGCTGTGGATGGCAAGTACGTTTCTCATCTTCTACCACTGTCTGTCTTCCTCATTTGTGGCTTTGCAACATGTAGTGTAGACTTGTGTAGGGAGGAAAGCTGAGACAAACAACCAGTTAAAAAGTAGCTGGTTGCTTGCTATTTTAAAAGCTTTTGAAGAACTGAGCTTTAGTCAGTCAAAAGGATCATTCAGTTCTCAGGGAATTAGTCTGATGCATGTAAAATACTTTATATTTTATATATGTTTTTATATGTTTCCTAAATTTAAAAGACTGTTCTAGCACCAGCACAGTTTAATTAACTTGTTTTTCACATTTTTAAATATATTTATAGTGTGTGAATGTGTGTGTGCATGGGTGAATGTCTGAAGTGTAAAGCGCCTTGGGGTCTATATAAGTTGAAGCCATTTAAAATTTACCATTTATTCAATTTTGTGCTTCTTGTTTGCATTCAAATTTACTAGTTGGCTAGTAAAAACAAATTAACTGGATTGAACTATGCAGTAGTCCTAATCAGAAGGTCTTGCAGTGATTAAAATGTTTTCACTAAACATGAATTTTAACCCCAAAGCCTGAYTCTCATTGAGCTACAAATGCTGTCATTCACAAGACAAAGCTTTTCTTGTAAAAGAGGATAAAACAACATGAAGACCAGAGAGCTGTCTATGGGAGATGTGCAAGCCATTTTGAAGCTGAGAAAAGGAGAATCAATCAGAGCCATTGGACGAACATTGTACTGAGCAGCACATGTCCAACAGGTCGGCCAAAAAAAACAGCAGTTGATGACAGAAATATTGGGAGAGCTGTGAAAAAAATAAACATCAGTAAGTGACATCACCAAKGACCTCCACAGTTCAGGGGTGAAGGTATCACAATCCACTGTTGGAAGAAGATTCAGAGAGCAGAAATATAGAGGCCTTACTCAAAGATGCAAACCACTCATCAGTAATAAGAATCAGAACCAGAATGAAATTTGCAAAGTACTGAGATGAGTCACAAACATTCTGTAAGACAATCTTATGGACTGATGAGACCAAGATCAATCTCTACCAAAGTGATGGAAAGGCCAAAGTGAGGAGAAAGAAAGAAACCTCTTATGATCCAAAGCAAACAKGCTCATCTGAGAAGCATGGTGGATGTAATGTCATAGCTTGAGTGTGCATTGCTGCTTCTGGYACAGGCTCATTAATATTTATTGATGATGTAAATGATGATGGTAGCAGCAGAATGAATTTCGAAGTGCACAGAAACATTTTGTCTGCCAYTTTACAGAGAAATGTATCCAAAATAGAGGGATTTTATCATGCAGCAGGAAAATGACCTGAAGAACAC